GATGATGATGATGATGATGATGATGATGATGATGATGATGATGATGATGATGATGATGATGATGATGATGATGATGAACCGATTGAAATGAGCCTATTAATAGAGCCAGTATTTGGTAATGTCGCGGTCAGGCCACACTTTTCAACCGAAAGTTAACTAACTATGATTCATCTTTCTGTCAGCCTTGATAGATTCACATATATTACATATATTACAATTATGTCAGTGATCCTTAAAATGAATGTTTGTTTAAAAAGACGGACTCGATACATACGAATAGGAAAACTCTCTTTGTAACTACAAAGTTTAGTTAGTATTAGTGTATAGTGATATAATAAGAATGTTGTACAACGGTTGAGTGTGTGTAACAAAGTATCTGCTGATCGCCAGAATTACATTCTCACCGATGACAAATCGAAAGTCAAATGTATCTGCTGACTCAATCTTCCGGATCGCAGACAGCTCGGTCCTCCGTTCACCCATGCCAAGACACATAAGCTCGCTTCATTCCATAGGTACAACTCCAAGCATACTTGATAAACGTGGTCCAATAAAAACCGGGAAGCTTATACGGCCGACGCCTATAGTGCCTGCACTCGGCATACCAACAACGCGCAAGCAATATGATTATACTAGCTCATCGTTAGCTTATGATAAATTAAAACGGAACACAACCCCAGAAAAGTTTTCCTCGCCAGAGGCGCGTTTACCCGAGTCAAATAACGATTTTGGCTGTGAGAAAAAGGTCGCCAAGTCCATACCAGCGCGTCGACAAAGTTACGAGGTAAGCTCGCTCCCTAATCCTTTGATAGAAGACGGTTATCGACCGGAGAAAGGCATATACATGACTCATTGGCATTTGAGATGCATTTCCGCACGCGGATTGAATCTTCCAGGTGATCTTAACGTTTGGGTAGTGTTGAAAGGAATACGGAAATACAAAAGACAATGGAAGGAATGGCATTCGTCAGCAATTGTCGATAGAGTTGAATCGCGGGTAGTACAGACATTGAGTGGACAAATGTACTACCTAGCTGGTGAAGTCATTGCTGATTTAATGATAGAATATGGTAAGTATTATCTGCCTTGTGAGTAATTGGCAAACAACCTAACTGCAATTATTTAATAACCCTAGGATTTTCATCAGAGTTAATATCTCGATTTTCGCAAGGATTTCCTTCAGATTGGAAAGCCTTGCTGGCTCTTGAATTCGGAAGACATCAAAGTCATAAAATAATGACGATGACATCTACGCCTACAAAGCCCAACAATGTTGTGAATTTCGATCAAGATCGCTGTACGGAAGATGATCTTTCTACCAAATCACCTCCCCGTGAGATTTCTGATACAAGCAAGGATGTGTTAAGCAAGGATTTGATTAGCAAGGCCGAGCCGATTATCCCATCACCAGAGGCGGTAGTGGATTACTATTTACTCTAATTATTGAGACATGGCACATGGTGACGCTGGGTGCTATCATACTCATTAATAATAATTCTTTTCCACATAGGTGATTGTATCAAAAGACGTAATTGCCATCACTCGCTCAGGACGTCGAATAAAACGGCCTGGTGCTTGGTGGGCTTACAACCACTGACAGAAAATGTTGGATGGGTAGTATGAATGGCGCATTGAAACGGTGAAACGGAAAATGAAACCGGAGATTGAACGAGGGCTTTCGTGAAGAACGTTGACGGGTCTTTTTTTTTCTTATTCATTGTTTTATAATCGTTTAAAATAAAAACTTTGGGAGAACGAAGATATTCAATGTAATGAGCCGCCGCTTGCGTTCATTGATTAATTGAACTATTATCGTTGTTACTAATGGTGCCCTATATACATTTCGCCATCGCTAGGTTGCGTGTTTCTCATTATTATTAATACAAATATACGGTGATACCATCATCGTTATTATTTCTGCCTCTATGCTAACACTAGTTAATGCGTTTATTTTTGTATACAAATTGTAGTCAATGCCGTTGACTGACTTTCTCACCAGTAACAGATTGTGATCAGTTATATTACATTGCGATCCATAGAAACGATAATAGAATATAATGTCGATACCATATTTCCCATCATCCGTATGCTTTCTCGCAAGATTTATGACGCGTCAAGTAAATACAACCAAATCCTTCAGGAAAATGCGCAATAGAGAATGATCTAACAAAACGTAATCTTACAGTATTGGACAATGGAAACAATATGCAAAATATGATAATACAAACGTTGGCAAAAAAATCGTTGATCGCGTGAGCGACATTGAGATTTTGATGAAAGAAATGCTGTTGATTTTAAAAAGAAAAGCCAAGATACAAGTTAGTTATTGTATATTGTAACTTTTCCAATTTTGATTGTATAAATGGACACGAAGTCTGTTCTACAGAATTGCATGCTTTGTCTTTAATTTTCAAACAAGACTGTCGATTATTCCGACTAGCTAATAATTGATATGTCAACCAATTCGCTCGATGAACTTTGAGACCCAGAAGATGCTTACCGACTCGCCGAGAACTCATTCATCACAGTTTTACTTCCAATCGTTATTCAAACTATCATCTCTATGTCTATAACGTCTAAAGGTGAGTTGGTCACAGATCACCAATATCAAACCCCTTCCCATCACGTTCCAACGTCTAATCCGCCTGAATCACATGTCCGACCCTCCATAGTCGCAGCCGAACAGAGCGACTCTATAGATATCATATCCAAGCTAGGCACTATCTGTCTTTATTCTAGAATGATGTATCCGATGGGTGATTGGATCAGGTTAATCAGTTTTCGGAAGTTGACTAAAAAGACTCACTCAATCGAGTGGTTGAATTAAAACTGACTGGATCGATGTGGGGGAAAAACCTAGACGGTCAGAAGAAAGGACAGAGTCACATGTGGGTGCTGTATAATGATAACAGAGCTTATCCGAACGTTCATTCTTCCTTGGAAAAAAAAAGAAAAGAATAGGGCTGACACGTCAACTATTTATTGTACAGGAAAACATAACACAACACGCGAGTATACCGAGAGCACATTTATTTCATTTAGGAACTTTTGGCTCTACAGACAAGTTTAAGGATTGTTTTTACTCATTTTACTGTGTCGCTAAGACTACCCGTTGTAACGCAAACAAATCAATATTGAAATTTGTCGCGGTGACTCCCGCAGGGACCGTCGGGATATATCCGGCCATCTGGGGACCCCACCAAGAAGTGGAGGATCCCAGAATACCTCCGATACCGGAATAACGATTTGGTATGCTGGGAGGTTCGGCCCGGTGCAAGCGGTTATAGTAATCCAACGTCCCGAAATTCCACTATAAATTCGCCAAACGTCTTAAACTTTCAATATTGATCACAAGAAATAGAAACACTATCGGTAGGTTAATCTTACCTCTTGCATATAGACTCCTGGACGAGACCAGTGCCTTGCCTGATATTAAATGTTTTGAGAACATTTCAAAATAAAGACAGTAAAGTAGACTGTAATACATACAATCATGCACCGATCTTGGTATCCATCAGGGTTACGTGAAGTTTTCACGGAATAAAGTTTTATTCCCAGCAGGCTTCTGACATACTGCTGGCGCATCCAACGCTTGCATTTGTCATGCCAGTCGGGAAACTTTTGCGAGCTGGCAATTTCGCACATTATTCGTGCGTGGGGCAATCCCTATATAATTATTTCGAATGACATTAAGTGGAGTGTAGTCGGTTAGAGTTGCATAATAAAGGCAAAGACCTACATCTACATTAACTGGAGGCATAGTCTTAATGGAGTTGTCAGTGGAGTTTTTGGAATAACGTATGCACCCGGATGTACTTCGACATCTGAGGCATTTTTTACACCTCCACCGTCGGGACGATAATGGCCTACGGGTATTATAGAACTGTGACAAGACAGATAATCAAATAAACCTGTAGAAATTATCTTACCTGTATTACGGGCAACTTGTATTGGGGGGGTCGAGAAGAATGCCCCCATTGGGAGCATTAAACATATAACCTAGAGTCGTGGCAAGCATAGAGTGCGCAGTTCCCCCCATCTCGACGATAAATACGTTTCTCTTTGAATCTATGTCAAACTTATACGGAAGCGTCTCGTGGCATTCAAAGAAGGCATCAAATGTTGATAGCTTCTCCTTCCAACCGATCTGTAAAGGCAAACTACGTTCCAAACATGCGTTATTATTAGAAGCATTTTGACATTCATGTAACTGCCTACTTACTCCTCCTTTACTCGAAATCTTTTTTTTGCGATCTTAAAATTCCTCTCTAGAGATAAGAGACGAGACATCATTTTGTCGTTGTAAATAATCGTTCTATCGCGAAATTATACGACTGTTTTGTTGATGGAAAAAATGATATGCACATGATTGACCATGTAAGGGGCATAATAACTACCGCACTATGACGACACAGTAATTTACGTCAGATCACAATTTTTTTGTATGTACTGTATAATTTGCGGCAGGTCACGTTCTACTCCCAGATAAGAAGGATGGTCTGTCTACCGGACATTGCATCAACGACGCTTGTGTTTTTGCAGCTTCCCTTAATGATAATCTTCATACGATTATCGTTATCAGAATTACTATACATAGCAGATATCACGCAATGTATCGCTATCATACGATTTATTTATCGTTTCAATCACAGCGCTCTTTAAACCATCGAACGGCTGAATTACTATACTATAAGCGTAAGTGGAGAATGGAGGAAGTAATACGACAGTACGACTGAAGAGGAAACTGTCTACTGGTAAACAAAAACTTCCTTTACTAAAGTGCAACACAGAGTTTCATAGCATGTATAAAAAAGGGTAGTATATACGAGGCGAGTGTAACACAAAATGGTCCAATTGTTTGGTATTAAAAGCGTGACATCATCAGGCGAAACACCAATGGTATATAGCAATATCGAACCACAAGATCGATGGTGCAACTAATAAAGTACTTGAAAAAATGTACAATCATTTTTATTTTAACGTTATTATACTTTTGTTGCCCTTACATACCAAACTCCTATAGTATGGGGCCCCGTTTTTATATACTATACTCCCAACAAACTGTAGAATTCATAAACGAGTACAACATACAAAAGGGTCTCGCATCCCCTTTCATAGCGCGATTTATGGCAAAACGATTAATTCTCCGTCTGCAACAACAATGGGAGTTTGTATAACTGTAAGTGTAACGGAATATCTAGGGAAAGGAGAAACGAAGTCGTAATAACCCATCCAACCAATGGTCATTATCTAAGCCAATAACAGCTGCCCCTAAAAATGGCACCGTTCAATTTATGGACATATTAACCATTCACGAAAAGATTATCTATTGCGACGTATTAGACTTTTCGTTTGTAGGGACAAGGACTGATAACTTCTCCAAAAGGCAACTTCGTATAATTCTTGTTTTACATTGGAATTGCTTGTACGTACGTAACAACCACAAATATAGTTCCGTATAAACAAACTGCAGAACAGATAAACCGTATCATAAACAACGCTCTGCCTCTGGAAACCGACAAATTTATGATATCTGATGCTCTAGACTTCTTGAATGGCATCAAACAAACCCCTGAAACTACAGTCATTGTTCAAATTAAAACCAACTTGCCGCTGACCGTACGCATTCAACAAGGATCTCGCGTAATGTTCTTAAATAATTCTCTTATAGAAAATGGTATTTGCAATGGAACTATTGGCGTTATCACTGACTTTGATAAAGATTCACACTCTGTCCAAGTGGCATTTGTGTACAGAATGCAATATAGTCCACTGTTGGATACAACAACAACACACCTCCTACTTTTATGCTGCAGGGCAAAAAGCTTCGCGAACTCAGTTTCCTCTACAAATTCATTCGCTCCAACAAAACTCAAGGACTTACATTACAAAAAATAACTGTATCATTAGAATCATCACATATTCTCTCCAGGTCAAGCTTACGTTGCAATTAGCAGGTGTCCGACTTGGGAAAACCTCAACATCAGTGCATTAGACAGAAATGCTTTCATAACTGATTCAAATGTAGTAAAGGAATATGAAAGACTACAACTTGCTCAACAACTTTCAATAACTTCCCCATTTTAATCCGCATATTAAAAATAAAACTAATTACTGCACATTGCTTAACATATTAACTGTATTCTATTATAGTGACTGCCCGGTCAATACTACACTAGTTATCAATATCTAAAACCGGTTAAATCCAGCTAATACTAAAACGTGCGGCTTAATGTCCCGTACACATTAAGAATTTTATATTTTATTATTATACTAGAGGCAAAGCCTCCTCGCTTCGCGAGTCTCTACTAAATCTTTGCTTAGCGACAAAAAAAATAAATAAATTGGTATCTCTGGCAGTGGTACCACGCTAAATTGTGAAACTAATAGTAGGATATCATTTAGTAACACCGTTCTTGGTAAAAAATTTTCGGAATCATCAACGAGCAGGTAGCAGGAAAAGAGAATGACAATATATTCTTAATAGGTCTTCGATTACGAACAAAATACATAACTATTTGGTTCTCCATGGATTTACTTGAATACTGGTCATGTCTACTAAGTTGATAATAGTTTTAGGTTATACTCACTTTGTTAGGATATATATTACAAAAAATAATTCTTTCAATTCGACGTTGCAGGTTAACTCCGCAAGCCAACTCCTACTCCTCCTGCAATGACGACGCAATAGCAAACTCGTTGTCACTTGAACGACAACATAATAATAAATGCAAACTCGGCCAAATAACGAAATTTTTTTTCAATTATCTCCGCAGGCTAACTCCGCAAGCTATCTCCAACTCCTGCTATGACGACGCAATCACAAACTCGCCGTCACTCGACGATGCAAATGCAAACTCATTGGGTATAACCTAAAGTCACGTGACTGAGTGGATATGTTAATATTGCTTAGCGTTAGTGTTGCAAAAGTTTCGTTTTTGATACACCAGGAGTTCCGTTTTTGATAGATCGGCAAGCACCCCAAATTTTGTTTCCTTTT